GTTTAAAGGGTCCAACTGGTACAACACCTGCAGACTCGTGATTGTTTGCGTTATTTACATCGATACCCTGCTCATTCGACAAACAAAACAGATTGAGAACACACAAAAACAAGATTGAGAATTATCTATCAATAGAGAGATTCAAGTAGTACTTGGATATTTGATGATGGCTCATGTACTCTCTGCGGGTTAGCGTTTAGATCAATCATTTCGTCATCAATCTTTCCATTAGCTTCACCGTTTGCATTTGCAGAGACTCTTTGGTTTTGCGAGTTCTCTCTCGTACTGTTTGGTTTAGGCTTATCTCCTGGAAACTACAAGAAAAAACAGTAAACACAAACGATTAAATCAGGAAACCGACTCAAAATGATTGTGTTTTGAGTGAAGGAAACAAAACAGTTTAATTCAAACCTCGATTCTCTGTCTAAGCAAAAGAAACCTCCCGTGTGTTCTCTTGCCACCAACATGTACTACCATGTCACATTGCAGACAAAGCGAACTACCGTCTATCTCACAGTAAAAGAAGGCTGTTCTCACAACGCCAAGGAGAAGAAGAAAAAAACAGAATGAGATTTCTCCTTTGTTCTACATATATATGCGAAAACATTGAAACATCGAGTGTGGAAAATTCGTTGTAAACAGATCATACCAGGTGCATTTTCGCATATATCGCAGCACGGGGCATTGCTTGGTTCGGCTAAACCAACACGTACATGCCGACTAGCTAGCTTGTTGCACATATGAACCTGAAAGAGAAAAAAAAAAACAATACAAAGTTTTGAATCATATACATCATCAAGTTAACCCATTTTCGACCAATATCCATTGAAAACAAAAATCCGAAAACTACTAAGAGCTATTGCAATAGAAAAAGTATAAACTAAGGACTCGAGAAGGACTGTAAAGTGTTACCCTTAAGAGTCATCATCTAACTGAAGTAAAGATTATTTTCTTCTCCAGAAGTTATACTAAATGCAAAATTTTGGATACAAAAACATTCCCTGCAATGTAAATCAGATTAGAATCATTGAAAAATTTGAAATCGCAGCAACAAATACTCGAATCTCATGTAAATCACTAATCAAAACATGAATTCATCTAGACAACATCTGATCCACCAAATGAGAAACAATGAAAACAAAAATTTCATCTTTTTCAGTTTTTCACTATCCATTCCCACTTCAAAAAAGTAATCTGATTAACAATCTAAGCACCAAATCTCACAATCCATTTTTCAGCTCAAAGTTCTCTACTTTCTTCGCTCGTTGAGACAAGTCTTATACAACACAAGATCTCGAGATCGAACCAGGTCCGAATCAATTGAGTATTAAGGATAAAACACAGACACAAAGAACAAAGACTCGATCTTTCACGAACCCATTAAACCAATAGACACAGAGAGGAAGAAAAAGAAATTACTTTTTCATCGCAGGGGCGACAAAGAGCAGCTTCATCGGCAGCACAAAAGACAATAGCAGCTGCGTTCTCACACGCATCGCATAAAATTCGCATCTTTCTTCTTCAATCTTACCAAAACAACAAAAAAAAAGTCTTTTTTTTTCTCAGTCTATGAATCTCACATTCAAGACAAAAAAAAGCTTTAGCTAGAAAAACCCAGATTGCGATTGAAAGAGATGAAGTGGAAATAAGTAGAAAATTCTGATTAATTAAAGACGAGAAAGTAGATTAAGGGTTAGGATTACAAGTTGGTATCAAT